TGATTTCACATCCCCAGGAGTAATAACTACACTTGTATTGATGTTTGTATTGAATTTGAATTAATATTTTTATGTATATATGAACATATGTATCTACTTGCTCATTTATTTTTAAACTAGCTTTGATGTCGATTATTCATGCAAACATGGTAGTGTTAATTGAAACATAAGGAGTATAAAAGTAGATAGGGCTCCAGTAAAAAAGTAAATGCTTAGAGCAGCATGACAACTGTCTAAAGGCAGCAAAGTACATACTTTTCTAAAAGAAACTTCTCATATTTAACTAACATGTATTAAAAATCTACTATTTGGTAGGTGCTTTTATCTCTCAACCCAGTACCATCCCTATAGTATCATTTCCTTCACTTCTTTTTCTTACAGCTGAGGAATGAGTCTCAGAAAACAAATTTATGAAGGAGAAGTAACTTAAAAACAGCAGAGATAGGATTTTAATCCAGATCCAACTCTAAAGCCCATGTTCTTTTTACCTGCTCTCTTTTATGATCAGCAAGTAATACATAGTTGTGAGATGGCTGGCTAATGATCATGGGGCAGAGTTCAGTTAACTGACCTATGTGTAAAAATGGAACAAGTAACTATGGTTTGTAGCACACTGTTTTCATCAACTGTCATGTCTTCTAAGGGACAGATGTCATATTTCAGTATATGGCAGATTGCTTTTAGAGGGTTCATTTGGGAAAAGAAAGAAGAGAAAAACTAGAAAAAATGGGTGGTGATATCTGAATCAACAGTCATTTTTTATTAAAGTAGGTTGGAGATGGAACCATTTATAGTTCTGGCATTTATCTGACCCTGAATCCCCATGGTTAAGGCTGTTAGGTAAAGATATACATGACACAGAAATCACTTTAACATTTAAAACAGAGCCCATGCGATGTCATAGGTTTTACTACTAACCATTTTTAATATTAATGTAACAAAAGTTTGTTTAGCAGGAACTAGCTAAATTAAAAGTTACATTTATTAGCTTTTGAGTCTTCTCTCATTTTTATTTTGGTTAGTCTAGCTAAAAGTTTATCTTTTCAAAAAACCAACTCTTAGTTTTATCCATTGTTTATATTGTCTTTCTAGTCCTTGTTTTATTTATTCCTGTCCTAGTCTTTATTATTTCCTCCCTTCTGCTAACTTTGGGCTCAGTTTGTTCTTCCTTTGCTAATTCCTTGGGGTGTAGAGTTAGGTGGTTTATTTGAGGTCTTTCTTTTTTCTTAATGTAGGCATTTATCACTTATAACCTTCCCTCCTAGGACTGCTTTTGCTGCATCCCATAAGTTTTGGTATGTTGTGTTTTTGTTTTCATTTGACTCAAGATTCTTTCTGTCCTTTTGATTTCTTCTTTGACCCATTGGTTGTTCCGGAATGTATTGTTTAGTTTCCACATATTTGTGAATTTTTCAGTTTTCTTCCCATTATTGATTTCTAGTTTTATACCTTTGTGGTCAGAAAAGGTGCTTGATATGATTTCAGTCTTCTTAAATTTGTTAAGGCTTGCTTTGTGGCTGAACATATGATTTGTCCTAGAGAATGTTCCATGTGCACTTGAGAAGAATGTGTATTCTGGTGCTGTCGGATGGGATGTACTGTATATGTCTATTAGGTCCATTTGGTCTAAGTGTTATTCAGGTCTGCTGTTTCCTTATTAATTTTCTGTCTGGATGATCTGTCCAATGTTGAAAGTGGCATATTGATGTCCACTACTATTATTTTATTGCTGTCTATTTCTGAACTGACCCCTTTATCACTATGTAGTGACCTTCTTGTCTCATGTGACTGACTTTGACTGAAAGTCTATTTTATCTGATATAAGTATAGCCATTGCTGCCCTCTTGGTTACCATTTGTATACAATATCTTTTTCTGGGGCCGGCCCCGTGGCGCAGCGGTTAAGTGCACACATTCCACTTCAGCAGCCCAGGATTCACTGGTTCGGATCCCAGGTGCGTACATGGCACCACTCGGCAAGCCATGCTGTGGTAGGTGTCCCACATATAAAGTAGAGGAAGATGAGCATGGATGTTAGCTCAGGGCCAGTCTTCCTCAGCGAAAAGAGGAGGATTGGCAGCAGTTAGCTCAGGGCTAATCTTCCTCAAAAAAAAAAAAGAAAAGAAAAAAATATCTTTTTCCATCCCACATTTATTAACTTTTAAATCCAAAGCTTTAGATTTTTTCTGATTTTTTTCCCTCATACTTATAAAAACAAGTACCCATTCAGTGCAAATCATAAAATGGACACTTAATAAATGTTAAAAGAAATGATATGTTTTCTAAAAGTGGCAACATTTGCCCACCTAGAAGAGGATTGCTCTGCTTATACCTATAAATGCTGTTAGCTTTTACTTAGAGAGAATCCACCAGATGGCAACCTCATCTACATGTGAAACATGATGTGCAATCCTCTGCAACCCATTACAGGTCACTTGAGCCAGGTGCTCCCTGATTACTGGCTAATTTCTATAGTGATCCCAGTAAATGGGTACGAGGTAGTCACTTGGCAGTGATTGTTGGAAGATGGAGGATGTGTAGAGTTGGGACATATTTAGCATCAAGTGTGAAATATTTTTAGTAACATTCTTTTTAAATTAATATTGAAAACAAAAACAACAGTATTTATTTCCATGTTGCCCTCTAAACATATTTCTAATTTGAAGCTAAAAGGAACCATATTCAGTTCTCCATTGTACAAAGCTGCAGAAAGCAGTATTTCTTCATGAATCACAAGTTATTCTAGTTGGATTCCTTGTACTTAATGGCAGTCTGGTAGCTAGCTGGTTTATTGCTTAAAATGTAAACTGTCTTCCGTATTTCTAAACCTGATAGTATGCAGGGAGTACTGCTGGGGATATTTAACATGTCCCTTACTGTTTTCTGTTTATAAACAACCTGCCCTGAGGTACCATTTAGTTGACGATATTGCTTATACTTAGCAAATACTTTGTACTTTTCCATACAAATAAGTCCATGGTCAAGGTGAAAGTCATTGATGGGTTGATTACATGAACTGCAAATTTCTGAAAATATGTGTGATGGTAAATGTTCCAGGAAAAGGGAAAAAAATGGATTTGTTGAAATTTTTATTCCTGAATATATAGAGTTCTAATTGCATCTGACATTTCATTAATAAATCCACTTCTAAAGCAACATGTTTCACCTACATTAAAGTACAGCTGTATAAGACATCTGTTTGAATTAAATACCTATAATACCTAACAGATTGCCTTTTTCTTATGACTGTAATTGACTTTACTTTGCATCTGTATATTTTCCAAAATCCATTTTTGAAAAATATGCTTTTTTCCCTCAGTTTCCTGAGTATTTTTAATAACTTTATTGAGGCATATTTTACATATCATATAATCCACCCATTTCAAGTGTACAATTCAATGATTTTTACTAAATTTAACTCTTCAGGATATTTGTAAAATGGTATAGCTGTACCTTGATGCTGTTCGTCATTACGTGACAAATACTCTGCATTTTGGCAGCTCATCTATCTTTGGTTCCTAACATGCCTGCTTTTAGATATTGTTTACATAAATGAAGGTCAGAAAAGCTGACTCATATGTGTCTGAAATTTTGTTAGTGTCAGTGTCTTAGTGCCCCATCTTCTAGATTTGGGAGGATACACTCACATTACATCAAGAGTTGGAATTTTGGCTTCATTGCCATATAATACTAACAAACCTAACCCTCAGTACTACCCAGACCATTGGAGCAAGTGACCATTATTTTAACTTAACATATATGCAGTACTGACATTACATTTAAAGTATTTTACAACAGATAAAAGACTGTGCTTGCTTTTGAAGGATTTACTCAATAATTGAAAAAGTGATCTAGGTATAAAGAACCCCTTGAGAAAGATTATTAGACTCTATTCATATTCTGCCCTTTTCTTTCCTAATTTCTCTTTTTCATCCTATGACCTTCTGTTCTCTTGTTCTGCCATCTAGATTTGCCTACATGAGTCCAAGTTCAAACCATGTCAGTAAAGCGTGCATCAAAACGGAAGTCCAGGGGCTGGCCCTGTGGCCAAGTGGTTGAGTTTGCGCGCTCCACTTCAGCCGCCCAGGGTTTCGCAGGTTCGGATCCTGGGTGCAGGCATGGCATCACTCATCAGGCCATGCTGAGGTGGCATCCCACATAGCACAACCAGAGGCACTCACAACTAGAATATACAACTATGTACTGGGGGGCTTTGGGGGAAGAAGAAGAAGAAGAAGAAGAAGAGGAAAAAATTGACAACAGTTGTTAGCTCAGGTGCCAATCTACAAAAAAAAAAACAAAGAAAACAAACCTGAAGTCCATCTTATATTAAATATTAGCTCCCTTCTTCATGTGTTTGGGTCAAAGACTCTATTCTAAAATAGTAGAAAAATGTCCAGGAAAGTATTACTGTTGTTTCTTGCATTGATAGTGGCCAAGGACTGACATTTCCCTCAGTTGGAAGAGTTTCTTTGACTTTGATTCAAGAATTCACCTTGTATTTGCGTAAATAAATTCCTGAGTTTGGGGAATTTATGCCTATGTACATAACAACTAAAATGCTGAACAAACTGTCAAAAACATCTATTTCAACACTGTGGAAATTGACCCAGGAATACAACAAACTGAGAACTTGTGAACTTTGGGTAGGAACAGAACAAGTCTGTTCTTGCCTAGGTGTGATGGTTAATTTTATGTGTCAACTTTATTGGGTTAAAGGATGTCCAGATAGCTGATAAAACATTATTTCTGGGTGTGTCTGTAAGGGTGTTTCTGCAGGAGATTAACATTTGAATCAGTAGACTGAGTAATGAAGATGGCCTTCACCAATGCGGTTGGACATCATCTAATCCATTGAGGGCCAGAAAGGCAGAGGAAGAGCAAATTTGCTCAGCTTGAGCTGGGACATCCATCTTCTCCTGCCCTCAAATGTGGCATTCCTGGTTCTCGGTCCTTCGGACTCAGACTGGAACTTAGACCATTTGCTCCCCTGTTTCTTAGGCCTTCGGGTTTGGACTGGAATTACACCATCAGCTTTCCTGGACTTCCAGCTTGCAGACAGCAGATCGTGAAACTTCTCAGCTTTCATGATTGTGTGAGCCAATCTCTTTCTATATATCTATATCTATATCTATATTTATATTCTATTGGTTCTGTTTCTGTGAAGAATCCTAACTAATGCACTGGGCTTACTCCAGCTTCCCACTCACAACCACCACCCCCTGCCCCAGCTCTCTTGGCACAGTAGTTCAACCAAGGTGAGGCAGGCTGTAAAATAAAAACCAGCAGCACTACTGCTGCTGCTGCAGAAGGGAACTTACTTGACTTAGAGCATTGTTGGTTAAAGTAGTGATCTAAGTGGCAAGTAGATAAGAAGGGCTTCTAGCCTGAGATTGCAAGACTGTTGGGGGCAGGCAGTGGACAAACAGACTAACAGGGGTTGTAACAGAGAATTCCAGGAAGTGAAGCAGCCATGGTGGACTTGATAAGCAATCTATATATCCTGTACACATGCCCACACATCCCAGGCCTACAGTGACTATGTGAGTGCATAGAAGAGAAGCAGGAGAGACCAGCAGAAAGTGAAGTTGGAGTAGACATGAAAGCAGTTTGAAGTCCGAATGTGTTCCCCAGTCCACACACAGATCCATCAGCAAATAATGGATGCATACTGGGTGGAGGTGTTTGAGCAAAACCTTGGAGTAATCTTTATTCCAAGCAAGGCAGGCGCAGGAGTAACCCCCAGGAAGCTAGTCTTTAAAAATAAAAGCAAGGGAAAAGAATCTGGAGCAGAAACGTCAGCAGCCACACATTGTAGTGGAGACAGAGGTCATAAATGTAGTTCAGGCAAGTTAGTAAACAAGCAAAAATAAAAAACCTTCAGGAGCCAAAATCAAAATTCAGAGTTGTTACAGTATGTTATCTAAAATGTCCAATATTCACCAAAAAATTATAAAACTTGTAAATAGACAAAAAAGTAAAGAAATTGATTCAGCAATTTAAATCTTCCCACACACACAAAAAAAGGCCAGGCCCATGTGGCTTCTGTGGTAAATTTGATCAAATATTTAAAGAAAAAACATCACACCAATCCTTTAAAAACTCTTTCAAAAGTAGAGAAGGAGGGAATGCTTCCCAGCATTAGGCCAGTATTACTCTGATACCAAAGACATATATTAAAGACATCAGAGGAAAAGAAAACTACAGACATATCCCTTGTGAAGGCACATGTAAGAAATCTTAAAAAGTATTAGCACACTGAAATCAACAACTTATAAAAAATATTATAAAACATGACAAAATAGAATTTGTTCCATAAATACAAGTTCGCATAATATTAAAAACAAATACACCATATTAATAAAGGACAAAAAACACATAATCATCTCAATAGACACAGAAAAATCATTGACAGAATTCAATACCCTGTCATGATAAAAACACTTAACAAATTATGATTAGAAGGAAACTTTCCTAACCTGATAAAGAGCATTTGTGAAAAACCTTTAGCTAAAATCATATGTAATCATGAAAGACTGAGTACTTTTCCTCTAAGATCAGAAACAAGACAAGAGTGTCCACTGTGATCATTTCTATTCAACATTATACTGGAGATTTGAGCCAGTGCAACAACAGGAAAATTATTTTAAAGTCATTCAGATTAGAAAGGAAGGGGTAAAAACTGCTAATTTGCAGATGACATGATGTTATATTTAGGAAATCCTAAGGAATACACACAAATACACAACTACTAAAATTAAATGAATTTAGCAAGGTCACAAGACACATGATCCATATACAAAAATTAATTATATTTCTATACACTAGCAAAGAATAATAAAATGCAATTAAGAAAACTATTATGAAAATATTCCTAATAACATCAAAAAGAATAAAATACTGAGGAACAAATTTAACAAAAGAAATGCAAAACTTGTATACTGAAAACTGCAAAACATTGCTAAAATAAATTTTAAAAGATCTAAATAAATGGGAGAGACATTCCATGTTAATGGATTGGAAACCTCATTATGGCTGAGATTGTAAGTTTCCCCAAATTGACAAGGTAATCCTAAAATTTATATGGAAATCCAAAGGTCCTAGAATAGCCAAAATAAATTTGATAAATAACAAAGTTAGGAGATTTACATTGCCCAATTTCAAAGCTTATAATAAAGCTATAGTAATTGAACCAGTGTGGTAGTGGCAAAAGGATGGGCATGTAGATCAATGGAATAGAATTGGGAGTCCAGAAGTAAACCCATATGTGTGTGATCAAATGATTTTTCACCAAGGCTCCAAGACAATTCAATAGGAAGAGGATAGTCCTTGCAACAAGTGGTTCAACTGAATATCCATATTATGCCAAAAAATTAATTTAGACCCTTATATTATAAACAAAAAATAAGCCTAAATAGATCATAGACTTAAATGTAAAAACTACAACTATAAAAATTCTAGAAGAAAATATTTTTGTTTTAACCTTTAGTTAAAACTTTCTTAGATATGATATCAAAAGCACCAGCAACCATGACAAAAAAAATAAATTGGACTTCATCAAAATTAAAAACTTTTGTGTTTCAAAGGATACCATCAAGAAAGTGAAAAGACAACCTACAGAATGGGAGAAAATAATTTGCAAATCATTTAACTGTTAAGGGACTTAATCTAGAATATATAAAGAACTCTTACAACTCAACAATGAAACTACAAATAAAAAGTGGGCAAAAGATCTGAATAGTCATTTCTCCAAAGAAGCTGTGGGGGAAGTGGGAGAGTTCCCCCCACTGCTTTTCCTTAAGGTTCTCATGGCTGGTCAAATAATCAAAGAGGCAGGTTGGCAAGAGAAAATCAAACAAAATTTAATAGCATGTATACATGGGAGAAACCCAGAGGAAACTGAGTAACCCAACCCTCTGGCTGAGTCCACCTGTTTAAGTATCCTCAGCTACAGACAAGGAGGACATAGTGATCTGGGACTTCAAAGGGGAGGAAGACAATCTACTTAGAGATGGAATGCAAATGTTTGTTAAACAGGTTTTGCTAGGCCCAAAAAATGGGTTTGTTGGTGTCCTTTTATGACACCTATTTTACATCATACTGTAGCTATCACCGATATGAGCTCCTTCCTGGAACAGGCCTTCTATGTTAAAGTCCTTTAGGCAGTTTGAGGGGGGAAGGTCTGATGCTCTTCCTGAAGCCTTTTGAGGCTTCATTGTCTTCAGCTAGAGATAGTCTGCAGACCAGAGTGGCACATCTTGGGGCGGCCTGCCCTCAACCCCATCAGTTCCCTCCTCTGAAACTTCCCTGAAAGTTTCACACATTAAAAGCTGAGCTGGTGGCTGTGGAGAGAAAAATCGAACTGGTAGCCAGGTTGTAAGAAATCTGCAAAGAGAGAAAAGAACATAGATTAGAATGGTGATAAACAAGCAGAAAAGAACAAATCGTAGCACATTTCCCCACACTCCATTAAAACAGTCTCCCAATCCTGGAAATAAGTCTGTCCAATAAAATGTGTGAGCTTCATTTATCTGATGGAAAATGTCAATCTTTTCTTTTAATAGATGTAAGTTAGATTCTACTTGCCCAGTTTCATTCACATAAAAGCAACATTTTTCACCAATGATTGCACAGGCTCCTCCTTGCTGGGCAGTCAGTGTATTCAGAGTACATCGATTTTGGAGTACCACAGAGGCTAGGCTGTTAATCTCTGACTGGAGTATTTTCAAAGATTGCATGGTGGTGGTGAACTCTTGTTCCATCACCATGGAGAGATTTAAGATTGCCTTTTCCAACTCGTAATCAACAAAGCTGGGCAAAAAGACTCAATGCTGAAATGAACTTGGAGTTGGGATACCCAAGTGGATTCTCCACGATTTCCCGATGGGCACGCTTATGTGGCACAATCTTATGAACAAAGGAACCCAGGTTTGCAATGTGGCTGGCGTTTAGGGTAGAGTATTTGGTGACAGAAGGGGCCAGGTATCTGAGTCCACAGCGTCCTGACCAATTAGGTGGGAATCCTTTATATACTTTGTTGCCACATAAAATAAAAAGACCAGTGTGGTTTATAGACAAGGTTAGAACTGAATCTGTAGTTCCCACGGCCTGGAGTATTCCATGACCTATGCCACTGGTACTGTTAGTGCCTAAGCGTCTCCATTTTCCATGCGCTCCTGTCAATCTGTGAGAACAGAACAGATTGCGGAATAGCTGGTACAAGAGGCCTGCAGTCTGATTTTGGCAGCTATAAAGCTTGATCTTGTCACCTGACCAAGTGAGTCCAGATTTTTGATCCACCCATACATAGTCTGTGGCACTGGGCAGCTTAACCATGCGGGCAGCTGCAATACCCCAAGTTGTACATGGGTGGCTCGTAAGCTTTCCAGAGCATTTGGTGATTTGGCAGATGTTTGTGCCAAAGGGAGTAGTGTTAGAGTCACTTATAACTCCCTTTAGAGGCTTGAGGATACCACCTGTGCAACTAAACCACAGGATTTGATTACAGTATTGTCCTGGTATGTCACCCAGGAAAGGTCCAGTGTCATGTTTACTTTCAATGCTGAGGGAAAATCTTTCACTTATTGTCTTTACCTGGGCAAGGGAGAGTCCTGGAGCTTCTATAGAGTCTTTCTGGGGCCTAAATGACTCACCAGGAGAAGAGGCAGAGTGAAGTTTCCCTTGTTGTGCATACCATACCCTGCTGTTCATCCATCTTCCACACTTAGTCCACTAGGTGTTCACTTCAGCAGGAACAAAGACCAGTTCAGGTTCTTTTGTGCTATCTAGCTGTTGACATAACCAACAGTCAGACTGATTAGTTAGCGTGGCCAAGGCTTGGTAAACTGGCATAAGGGGGTGTTTGGTCTGTGCTCGACTTGTTGAAAAAGAGAGGGTTAGTAAAAGCAAGGCACAGGTTAGAAAAAAGCCCATAGTGGAAACTTAAGAGAGGGGAAGTGGACAGATAAAGGCCAGCGCTCTCCAGTCAGCTTTTTTTTTAATAAGTGATTAAAGAAATATAAATATTTGCTAATAGTTTGTGTGTGTGTGTTTTTGAGAAATGCAAGGGAGAGAAAATAGGTGAAAGCAAGCTTT